GGGTGAAAGAGGAGAGCGCAAAAGTTGGCTTGAAATTCAACATAAAGAAAACTAAGATCATGGCATCCGGTCCTCTCACTTCCTGGCAAATAGATGGGGAAGAAATGGAGGTTGTGATAGATTTTATTTTCCTGGGCTCCAAGATCACCACAGACGGTGACTGCAGCCATGAAATTAAAAGATGCTTGCTCCTGGGGAGGAAAGCTATGGAAAATCTAGACAGCATACTAAAAAGCAGAGACATCACACCGCTGACAAAGGTTCGTATAGTCAAGGCTATGGTTTTCCCAGTTGCAATGTATGGCTGTGAAAGTTGGACCACAAGGAAGGCTGAGCACTGAAGAATTGAGGCCTTTGAATTGTGGTGCTGGAGGAGACTCCTGCGAGGCCCTTGGACTGAAAGGCGATCAAACCAGTCAGTCCTAGAAGAGATCAACTCTGACTGCTCTTTAGAAGGCCAAATACTGAAGATGAAGCTCAAATACTTTGGCCACCTAATGAGAAGGAAGGACTCACAAGAGAAGAGCCTAATGTTGGGAACAGTAGATGGCAAAATAAGAAGGGGATGGCAGAGAATGAGGTGGCTAGATGGAGTCACTGAAGCAGCTGGTGTGAGCTTAAGTGGACTCCGGGGAATGGTGGAGGACAGCAAGGCCTGGAGGATTGTCCATGGGGTCACGATGGGTTGGACACGACTTCGCAACTAACAACAACAACAAAAATTTTAAAAATATGTCAGTCTGGTTCATGGGTATAGCCATAAGTTTGTTTTTCCTTTTAAACCAGATTACATGGTTATGTTTTTCTGGGTGTGCAAGTCAGGGCCAGAGCAATTGTTTTGAAAGTTCAATTACTACAGAATAGTAAAAAAGGGGGGAGGGAAATTGTCAAGAGCAAAAACTCTGCCATAAAATGGCTGCCAAAAGCCTGACACTGTAAGAACAGCTTTAGACTTAAGGTAGGATGCTGATCTAATCAAGAAACCATGTTGTATGTCTTGTCCCCCACTTATACCTTAGATAGGCTAATATTTGTCCTGAAACTGCTTCTTCTTGTGTTTTGACTTAAGCCATTCAGCTATTTTGCTTTACTCTCATGTGCTTCTAGCAAACTGTGATCCCCCACCCTCCCTCATACTGTGTATGTAACTGATGAGTTAGAAAAGCATCCTGTACAGATTCCATCTTTATAGTCCCTTCAGGGACTACCTCCATGCTGCATGTATTTCCTGTATGTATGAATAGACTCTGAATGTTCTTTTGATTGTACACTCCCAGCATACCTGCATTTAGCTGTTTCTTGACAATACAAAACCCCAAATTCTCCCCGCCCCCCACACACATACTCCAGTTGCCCTTAGTCCTCTGGCTAATATGATGCAAGAGCATATTTCTCTTCAGTTTGCAGTTCCAGGACAGAACTTCCATCTTAGGCTGAAATGCTTAAGCACTAAGTTAAATAGGATAGAAATCTAAATAGATTAGTAGTTATATTCCACATTAGTCATAATAGTGGTCATCTTCTACTGGAGGTTGCTGCTGTTAATGTATGGCTCCATCTTCCCTTATAACACATCCATTGGCTGATTGGCAAAAATCTTATTCCTTTTTTGAGGCTTGAAGCATTTTTGCCTTGAGGAGGGCTATGCCTCCTCTCTGCAGGTATCCCGCCAAAGAAAATATATGGGTGTTGTGTTGTGAACTTACCTTCCCTCATGTATACTGAGCTTATTAATAGTGTGTGGCATAAAGAGACTCAACCCCCGCCTATAGGGATGACCAGGGGCTTCCTACTGGCTCTACCAGTGAAGCTTACATAGTGGGGAGTGCTAGAGCACTGTGGGTGGTAAGGACAGGAGGCTATGCCGTGTATATGACTGCCATTGTGATAGCACTGGCTTCCTCCACATGTGAATGGTATGTCACATCATTGCCACAGTAACTGGTAGGGACTGCTGGTGCTTTCATGACAGCTGTGGGGATGACAGCTGTTTTTGGTCTGTTTTGGGATTTTCTGAGTTCTGTGCTTCCCCCTCCTTTCCTGGCCTCAAGTGAATAGCTGTTGCTCAGAGATAACAGTGACATATCTCTTTCTTCCATCATACTTTTGTACAATTGTTTTCCCATCTGTTATTTTTGTTTATACACTTTTAAACTGCCCAGTAAACCAAGAAAGCTGTCCATAAAAGTTTACTACATAATAACTATGTTTCTTAGAAAGAAAGCAAAAATCAACCCACCAGCCTTACTTCTTTCTTTTGATATAAAGGGTGATGTTAAACTGCTATGGTTTATTCTAAGCAGACCCTCACTGCCTGGGTTTGCATGACAAGCCCCAGTACATGCATGCCACAGCTTGCATATTCCAAATGGCAGCTGGCACACCCCACAGTCTTGTTGTTGTTAGTCGCAAAGTCGTGTCCAACCCGTAGTGACCCCATGGACAACATTCCTCCAGGCCTTCCTGTCCTCCACCATCACCCGGAGTCCATTCAAGCTCACACCAACTGCTTCAGTGACTCCATCTAGCCACCTCATTCTCTGCTGTCCCCTTCTTCTTTTGCCATCTATTGTTCCCAGCATTAGGCTCTTCTCCAGGGAGTCCTTCCTTCTCATTAGGTGGCCCCACAGTCTATCATGGGTTAAATATGTCAATTAACTTCTACAGGGCTGTTTTGCAGCCTATTTACAGAGAAAGTTCTGAACCTTGCAACATGAGAAATAAACATAGTTAAGTATTTACAGTCCTTCCCATCTGAAGAACCACAAGAAGACTCTACATATCTGGGGCTGGGTAGCAGAGTCTCCAAATGATATGTGGCTTCCATGCTGACTTGAACTACAGCACCAGTCATTTTAGCAACTAAGCACCGAAAATGGAATTCCATACATGTTTAGACAGAAAAAAATGTCCTACAACTCCCAGCATTCCCTGGCATGGATTGCTGTGGGAATGCTAGGAGTTAAAGGCATTTGTTTTGTCCAAATATTATACATGCAAAGCATTGTGACCTTGACTTGTGTTCCTCAGCCATTAAAGGCCCAAAGCTTTTGTCTAAGGAAAAGATGGCAATAAGTGGAGGCTTAGGAGAAATTAGACTTCATTGTTCTTCTGCTGCTATTTAAAAACAAGTTACATGACTACACAATTCAAGTAGCTTGTTAATACTACGAGGAGCTCACTGCCTGCAAAAGACAGATAATTTCCCCACTGAACTATAGATTCATAGAATCATAGAATAGTAGGGTCAGAAGGAGCCAAAGAGGCCATCAGGTCCACCCCACTGCTGGGGCAGGACACCAGGTCGTACCATCCCACTCAGAAGACTGTCCCATTTGGCCTTGAATGTTTCTAGTGTGGGAGAGCCCACAACCTCTCTTGACAACTGGTTCCATTGTCATACTGCTCTGACAAGCTGTTTTTTTTTTTTTTTTTTTTTTTTGGGTGTCTATCCTGAATCAGGTGTACTGCAGTGTTGTTCCATGTCCTACACTCAGGGATGAGTAAGAAGAGGTTTTTTTCCTTCCTCTTTGTCACAGCCTTTGAGGTACTTGCAGAGTGCTGTCATATCCCCTTGTAGTCTTCTCCTTTTGAGGCTAAACATACCCAATTCTCTCATAACCCACTTTAACTTTCCTGACTTCATCCCTGCAAGTATTTGCTGTTTGTTTGTACTCTTCTTTTGTGGCTTGGCTTCCCTTTCACTTCCTGTACATGACCTTTTTTGCTTTCAAGTTGTCTTAATTTTTTGTGGCACCACAAGGGCTTCTTTTCTGTTGTCTTTTTCACTTTTTTCTTGGAATTACTAGTTGTGCTTTGAGAATTTCTTTTTTTAAAGATTTCAATCCCTCTTGAACTCCTTTTAACTTTAGAGAAGTTGCCAGGGGATTTTACTTATCTTTGCTTTAAATTTCTTAAAGTTAGCCCTTTTGAAGTCTAGGGTACATGTTTGGCTACATTTGATTATTGCCATCTTCATAACTGAGAGTTCCAGAATGGCATGATGGGTTTCCCCCAGGAAACCTTGGCTGCTACTCATTCTATTAGATCTTCCCTGTTGCCAAGTATTAGGGCGAGTGTAGCTGTTCCTCTTCTCCTTTCCTCCATCTTATGCTGGAAGAAGTTATCAGTGATGCATGTCAGAAATTTCTTGGAGGGCCAATGTTTGGCTGAATATGGCCCCCAGCAAATATCAGGAAAATTGAAGCCCTTCATGACCACATTATGCTTCCTTGCAACACTAGTTACTTATTAGGATAACATCCTCATCCTCTCTTTGACTCTCTTTGGGTGGATTGTAATACACATCAATGACTATGCTCCTTTTGTTTTTGCTCCTCTTAACCCAGATGTACTCTATATGACTACTTAACTCCTCCTGTAATTCATTGCAGGTGTGTTTTTAATCTATACTGCAACTCTACCTCCCATTGTTTTTCTTGAAGAGATGGAATTCAAAAATTGATGCATACAATTATCTAGTTTTTAGATAGTTCTCACAGCATGTTTTATTTTTCCTTCAGCAAATCTCCTGTTATTCAACCCCCCACCAAATTTATATTAAAGCTACTGGGGAAAAAGCTTTTCAAACTAAAAAAAACATGTAAACGATGCCGTGTACTCTTCACGCTAGGTCAAGGCCTGTTCTTAAAAGCTGCTGCTCGCTTTTGAGCAAACGTCTGTTGCAGGCAGAGCAGCAGTGCCAATGCACGTCAGAGCGCGCCTTGCCTTGTCCCTCGAGTGCAGCCATCACAGGCAATGCATTTTAGAGACAGTACAACACAGCTACGTTTAAGCAGTTTGCTGTTTCGTGGGAGGTCTCCTCCTCTCTTTTGAACGGATCTTAACAAAACACCGAAGGAAGTTTCCCTAGAGAACAAGCAACTTAAAACCGGGCTGCGTGAATTCGGAGAGTTTGGCGGTGTGACGGGGAAGAAGGAAGCGCTGGCCAGGCCCCAGCGAGCGCCTCGTGTCTCCATGACGACCGCTGAGCAGGCGGCATGGCGACTTCTGAGGACAAGGAAGGAGCTGCGGCGGGTAAGAGCAAGCCTCCGGCAGGCTTCCCAGCAGATCGACGAGCGTTTCCGCCCCGGGCTGCTCCTGCAGTGAAAAGCCTTCCAGGAGTCCCGTGGAAGTATAGGGGCGGTGTGTGAGCTAGACCCCAGTCTGATCAGCAGCTGCTTTCCTCCTCATGCGTAGGCACCCCGCAGTCCTTGCTGCGGCGTGTTCCCTCAACATTTGACTTCCGACCTCTGCGGTGGTACCTGCCTCGGCACCTCCTGCCCAGACCTCCCGCCTCTCTTTACTAATATGAATCCACAGGGCAAAGTATGGACGCACTTCAAGCAGCGTCTCGATCCCCTGCGTGGTTCGAGGCACGTACGATCGGTGTGTTTGAAACATGGTTCCCTGCAGCCCCTGTTTGAACGAGTATCTCGTGATTCAAGATACCGTCGCTTATAAATGATTATAGATCATCCCGGCAATAGGTAGAAGGCTTTTAGTCTGCGTTCGCTGGTGACATTTAAACCAGTGTTAAAATTCCTTGAGTTCAATACCGCAATTGTAGTGAAAGGCATACTACAGGCATTCTTTATGGCTCCTAAGCACCTTTTTTAGGCAGGTATTGTTTGCTTTTGCTCTGGAACTAGCAGTGTTTCCTTCCAGATAGCTCCAAATCAAACACTTACATGTATCAGTCAAACCCAGAATCAAACACTTTCGCATACTATATCAATACCTATAAATAGCTTCTCTAGGATTATTACTTACTCAGTACACTAAGGGGAAGTTTGCACTAATGAACCTACAATAAGGCTGCGGAACATTCAGGGCACATGCTCTTGGCATCTTGAATATGTGACCCTCGCCCACAGATTGTCTGTTGTCAGAATTGGGTGAACACAAATTAAGCAACCCTTGTATAATCTATTATCTTTTCTACAGTTATGCAATGCTTGCTTCTTTCTTGTATAACCAAGGCTTACCCTGTTCATGCAATATGATAACTGAGTGGCCCCTTATACACCACATGTTGTGCAGCCTCACTGTGGGTAAAATAGATTGATTCTGGGTTTGAAGTACATGTGCAACCTCCTGTATGTGCAGAAATCTCCTGCCTATGCATTTTTGTGTGTCTGCTCCCTTAAAGCTTAAGCATTCAGAGATTTTCTGCTTACTACCGTTTCCTCAGCTGACTCTTGACAACCTCAAAGCACTTCTGCTAATATTGCACTTTATGGTGAATTTGAGGTAAGCAGTTTTTTGTACAATCAAGAATCTCTACAGTAATTAAGAGCCACCAGAAGAGGAATCTACAATTCAGTAATTCACAGAGTAACCCTGCTGTGGATATTGGCTTCATATTTGATGACAAGAATGATACTTTGTCAGTATTGGGTAACACCTACCCCTGGTTATTGCTGGGAGAACTTAATTTTAAAATTGGGGGTGATGAAAAGTATGTTTGGTTCTTCAAAATTACAAATGTTACTTTATTTGATATTGTAAATGATATAAGAACCTAAAGAATTGGAAAAACAAACTGCTATCCCTTTTTCAAAGCTGGCAAATCTGACATTCTTGTGGTGGTCAAAACATTTTGTATATTAACATGGATTCTGTATTGTAATCGAGGTCTGCCTGACATTGGAGGCTGTTCTTTTGTGACAAATGGAGCATTTAAGGACAGCTAACCACTGCCTCAGGTGGTGAGCTGTCAGTACAGCTTCTTAGTGAAGAACTTCCTTAACTGATTCCTTATAGGCTAGTCAAGCCTTCCTGGGCATGAAGGAATGCTTCCTGTCACTGAAATGTTGCTTGAGCAGCAAAATCTACTAGATCTTATGTTTTTGATCCTGCCTTCTTGGGTTGCTCTGTGATGCTGACGGCTCTTTGGTCTTGACCAGGTTCCCAGCCTTACCCCCTCCAGACTGCAGTTTATAATCCAGGCCTTATGATGCCTTGGGAATGCCAATAAGGTGCATTCCCCCCAACCCTGATGCCATCTTTCCCTCCTACTCCTGCTGCAAGGTAGAATACTATATAGTATAACTACCTCTTTTTGCATTTCAGATAGTTGGGTAGGTTGGGAAAGTTTTGGGCTTCTGTAGGTCATCATTGCTTGTTTAGAATGTAAGCACACAGTGATGGACTGCAAGACAGAAAAGAATGCCAGGAACACAAATAGCTTGGTTTTTTCATTACGTGAATTACAAGTGAGTGAGATGTACTGTAACAAAAAAGAGGTAGTGAGTACTATCCAATTTATATGTTTTCCACTTTCTCTTAATCATGTTAATTTCTACCTCTCCTTTCCTGTTTTTAAAACCATGATGCTATCTACCAACATACCTATTGCTTCTTTATAGAATAAAAAAGAGCTAGAGATGGATATATGCATGTGTACACAGATACATGCCCTGATAAGAGGATGAGGACAAGGAACTAATAAAATGAATACAGAAGAAAAAGACTGAAATTAATTTAAGATAGCAGATTCATGTGAAGCCTGAGTGTATGAAATATGAAATAACAGATGATCCTTTCCAAAATCATGAAGAATTATTATTGTTATACTTCCCAAAAATATGGTTGCTACAGAACTGGTAGAATATTAGACTAAATCACAGTCCATCTGTGGATCCCACCAGATAGTGAGAATGCTGGGCACTTGAATGCTTTCATATGCAAATAAAATCCATATATAATTTCACACCTTCTTGCCTGGAGTATTAATATCATTGCTTAACCCCTTTTCTTGACTTCACTTGTAACCTGTAATTGTTAGTATGGATGAACTTTCTGGTATAAGGAAAACTGAATGTGAGAGCTCCAAAACTTGACAATTTTATCCAACTCTGTGCACATATAGAACCCTAAACATAAGTTTTCAGGACCAAAACTGAAACTAGACCTTTAGAAATGTAATTCAGTTTATGTTTAGATAGAAAATTAAGATAACTTGAATATATGGCAATCAATGGTCATATCTACCTATAATTTATTCTGTTGAATCTAGGATTTTACTCACTAAAAAATTCAGCTTGTTTGAATAACACAACCTTGTTCTCCCTATGGGGTTTGCTACCATAAGATCAAAAAGTACCTCATAGTTCCCAAAGTAATTTAATAAATTATAAATAGTACTGGAAGAAGATGAAAAATGTGCTTTCCTTTGAAATGTATCTGGCAATTGACTGAAAGGTAATAGCATCACCTAAGTGTACCAGACCAAGCATGCCTTACCAAAAAAAACAGCAACAACACTGGATGGTTAATTTATATCTTAAATTCAGACAAATCTATACAGTATGTAGGCTTTTATACAAATACTGAGCCAGCATAACAGGGCAGCTTATTACATAGGTCTTAACAGGTTTTTGACCCAATCCGGTGGCTCCATCTGTGCACAGGATTGCTAACTTACAGAGTATGCATGTGTAAGAGACTCTTCATTCATTTCAATAAGGAGGATAGCTCTGTGTGCACATGCCCTTGCATGTATAAAGTTGTGCTTTCCACTGAAGTGAAAAGAACTGTTTCTTCAGAAGCATGCCAGACAACACTGTTTAATACTTTTTTCCAGGTGAGTTGCTAAGGCTTTTCTGTTTTAGGCAAGCATTAAGGTTTCTGGCTTGATTTTATGTTGGTGGTGACAGTCTGTTATAGCAATGTGTGAGCTATTGTACCTTCTTTACACTTTCCAGTGTTTAACTGAGGATCAAAGATGACCATGTGACCTTAATTTTGCTTAGCACCCAACACACAGTTTTTTTAAATCAGCTAGGGTGATAATTATCAGTGTCTTTGTGGGTGAGCATGTGGAATTTAAGCTTTTGTTCTTCTGTTGAGATCCCAAAAATTTTCCTTCTCTGAAGCTGGTATTTCCTCTCAGAAGCTTTTGGAGATACAGAGGAAAGGTTTTCCGCAGGAGCCTGGCAGGGAGGGAAAAGCCTGTTTCAGTCCCAGTAATTATTATTCCTCTGCACTCCATCTGAAGCTATTTGCATTTCCTAAAACTTGAATGTTAAATGTGAAGATACATTGTTTAGTTCTGAGGTGTGCATGTGTGTGTTTTCCATATCTTGATATTTTTTGGAAAGCCATTGTATGAGTAAGTAAATAATAAACAGTTTCATACATAGCTGCTTGCTTGTGGCAAGGACGAATTGCCTTCAGGAAAGCAGACAGGAAAGCCTCTGCAATTTATTTATATATTAGATTTTTTTTTTTTTTTAGCCTGCCCAACTGGTCACAAGGCTCCCTGGGTGGGTTACAAATTAGATGAAAATTGTGTTTGTTTTTTAAAACTATTGATATTTTACTTATATTAATACACATGATTAGAAGGGAAGAATAAAATAAACATGGATAGACTTAAATGTAACACTTGAGTTCAATAAAATTTTAATTTTCAGTATTTAATGTCAATTAGAAGGAGCCTAGGCGTGCATACTTAACTTTCTCTGGATTGACCCTCTTATTTAATGCTTATAATCCCCATCTGAATCATGTACCTCACACCTAATTAACAAAATTGGTCATGATAGAGTAGATGATAGTGATTTTCCTTGTTGGGTATTAAAAGTTCTTAGCTGAGAAGCATGAAATTATAAAAAGAAAGTCCACACTTTCCTAAAAATGATTTTGGCTTTCCAAGGACTTTCTCAGGTTCATAGGATAAAGTCCTGTGGTACTTGAGATTGATAAAGAGCCAGTAATTGGCACTTAATGAATACAGTTGTTCAACCTGCTGTGGACCTATCAATAGTATTATCTAGCTCATGAAAAAATAGGAAATGCTGTCACCTGTCTTTACTTGCACAACATGCAAGATTTGCATGTGTTTAAGATGCAATGATGAACTAAGAAACTTCTTTTTTGCCAGATGTGTGGTATACACAGTGCAGTGCATTTTTCAGTACTATACTAAATAAAGCTATTGTCCTCCCATCATGCCGGCCTATTTCCCTGGGGACATTCTGCCTGGTTGGGCCTGGAACTCTGGCCATTGGCTGGTTAGATGGGTGGTTTGT